AAGGCCGAGAAACCGAGAGGCAGCGTGGCGGCTATCAGGTAGCCGCCGCCCGCGGCACGGATTCCGAAACGGTACACTTTTGCGGATAAACCGGGCTAATGAGGCAGTTTGGCTGCGTCAGGGAGCGCCGGTTATATTTTTCTCTGACGCATCGAGCGCTTGTCCACCTGTCCGTCCATCCATCCGTTCCGACTCTTCATGGTCGATCGGACGCAGGCATCCGGTAGCCGCGCCGGTGCCGCGGAGGAAGAGACGAACACCGTGGCGGAACGTAGCGAGGAGGAGATTGACGTGGCACGCTGTCCCGCTTGACAAGAATGTGACAAGAACCAAACTGACTTCGCTCTCTCTCTCTCCGCCCGTTCCTTTCTCCGACGTGGAGGCGGCTTTGACGCCGAAACCCCGCGCGCTCGTTCTTCTTATTACCTTAGCTCCCTACGCGCGGAAAAAGAAGATCGACGAGCCTCTCTTGTAGATCATGCGCGCGCGCGCGCGCGCTTACGCCACGCTAGATCATTTATTAGTTTAGCCCATGGGAGTCGTAATCGCATCCCTCGTGAGTGATTCATGGTTATAGAACGAAATCAAATAAGACGACTAACAGTTTCACTCGTGCAATCTGCTAATACAAATTAACAGAGGGTCGATTCTTTTCGCCCGAGAACAAATTGCGTATTGCACCGGCGTTTATAATTTCAATATCGAGCGTGAAAAAAACCGATGGACTCCGAGGAGGAGGAAGGGCGCGAGAGCCGACGATGTCGGCGAAGAAAAACCGTGTCGTTCAGGTGTAATGTTCACTGTTGACCACCCGCGGTGTCGCGGCGAGCGGATCGTTTTGCCGGTTTTTCTCGGTTATTAAGAAACCATCAATCTTACTCGGCGATTCGATCGGACAACGTCGCACCGCGGGATACTGCTCGTGCTCGCGCGATCCTTCACTGCCCTTTCTTTCGTTACGATCATTTTCGGCTTTTCCGCTTATCGACAACGAGATTATATTCGCGCGTTGCCACAAACATAATTCATTAGAAATCATTAAAATATGTTTCCTTATTCGCTTTCCGTCGCAGTTTTACATTTTATTTTATCGAATTTCTTTCACTTGTTTTCATATGTTTATCAAATGCACAATAAAATAAGAAGAATTTTATAGCATTATTTTAAACTTGAATTTTGTGTAGCGCATCGAAGAAGTCAAATATTCATTAAGAAAAAAAGAAATAAAAAATTTAGCCACCGACATTTGTGATAGAAATCCATCATTCTCGACGGGGGTCCGTCCAGAACTTGCCTGAAGCCCTCGCCGAAGAAACCGTCTCTAAAGTGACCATTGATGAACGTGCAATCTTTGTCGAACATAAGGCGGCTGTCGCTTCGAGTGTTGTATCTGAACGACAAATAAAGACGCAAACCTCACCTCAAATGTGTTTCTCAAATGTTTCGCAAACAGATATCTCACGACACAGTCATAAAAAAAAGCTGTTCAACAGTCTATTTCGAAGATATACTGCACGAAGAAACCTTTTGGACTCCTCGATCATTTTGGCAATAATAATTCGCTGATAAAACGCATTTGTATGATCACCTATCCAAAACAGTGCATCGATGTTACGTTGATAAATTCAGTGAGGGGGACGAGTGACGAGAATTCGTCATTCCCGACCAAGAACTCACACCTGGGGCCCTGACCGACAGAGATGAGGTCCCCGATCCCTCCGGTGTCAGTTTCTCGACGTACGATTCCTGTCCTACACACGGCGGCTGTCACTTCCAGTCATGTCACGCGTCAAGCGACTTTTGCCTTCGACTTGGCGCCGTGCTCGTCTGCTTTCTCGTCACTTTTTGGCACTGCCGACCTATATAACATCCTCACTTTGGCACTACGCGAGCCCTTTGACGCCTCTGGTTCTAATTTTGTTTCTACATTTACGAATTAATTCCCGCCTGAACTTCAAATTACCGGTGAAAATACATATACAAAAAAATAATTGTTTGTTTCGTAATAAATTACCTAAAAAATAAAAGATTAAACAACAATTGTCTTAAATTCATTAATTTATAGTACTGTAATGTTTGTTCAGATTTTGATATGATTATCGCGGGCAGTTGAAAAAATTGGAAAAAGACGAATTTGGAGAAATCGAAATCACACGAGCTTCGTGAGCTATCCATTGAGACATTGCTATTCTTAATTGCGAGCCATGAACCGTGATCTCTTTCATCGCGCGCGCGCGGGGGACCGGAGACGTTCGAGGCAAAACGATCGTAAATCGTCTCGGACCAATGGGACGTGGCGAAGGTAGTGTCGGAGCCTTACGATCGGCGGCATTGGGCAAAGCGTGCGGTCCGCACTGGCATGTCCAATCGCTCGCGCGGTGCCCTCGGAGCGATTACCTTCGCAACCTTAACTCGATCGCTCATGCTAATTTCATAACAACTACCCTCGCGCCAATGGGCGAGCGCCGGAGACGATGAGCCAGGACGATGAACGGGCCCGGATGGAAGGGGAGAGATGGAACTAAAAAGGGCTAAGGATGGATCCACCTCCCCGAGCGGAGGCAGCGCAAGGCGCCTATTTCGCTCTGAAACGCGTGTTCGGACCCTATAGGCGGATCGTAAAATGGAGAGCTCATCCGATGGCCCTTACCTCGGGGGTAGGAGGGCGGTGAACTCCGTACGGAGAACGGGGGCCGCTAGGTCGCCGTACGCGTTGTCATCGCGGCTGGAAGTCGTGACCGTTTAAAATTAACTCGCGTACTGGGGATTTATCGGGGCCCGGCCGGCGTACAGTGGTATCGCGTCACGCGAGCTTATATCAGACAAAACGTTATCTATATCTGGAAGTACAACATGAAAGGAAAGATAGTGATATTGTATTCATTACGGACATTGTGCGAAAGAAAAATGTCGACAAAAAATTTATTTGAAAAAATGCATCGACCACAGCACGCGCGTATAAAATAGAAAATTTTTTCGAAAATTATAGATATGGTTTTCTTGTCAAGTTCATTTGATTTTTAGATTTATCCGCGCGGCAAAGAGGAAGATCGACAGAAAATATATCGATCCTTTCGCTTTCACGCAACACTCGCGATTGAAATATCTTTTCCGAACGTGAAGTTTAATGGAAACGAATGGTGCGCAATTATCGCTCTAGCTGCAAGAAGATAAAATAGAGTGTATCATAACGTAATAAATAATTCTCAACAAGGCCAGCTCGCTTCGTCGCGCGATGAATTTTAAATTCACACTATTGCACTAATCGCAATCTCTCTTATCGCATTCAAATGAATTTTACGTTGCAATTTTATCTCTCGTGTTTTATTTGCCGGATAACATACTTTTTTCTGTGAAAAATGACATTGCACATAACCGCGATTATGAAATAGTTCTTTCGTAATATGAAGCACGACATGGCGGTTTGATTCATCTGCCAGATGATATTGTGTGTCACACTCGTAAATTGCTGAGAACGGGTAGCACCAAGACCGCGTCGTGTAATATATAATTAGTACAACGTGCGCATATAAACATAGCCGACTTCCGGATACAATGACGGGCCGGTGAGCCCGGGTCGAAATTATTACCGATGTAAGGTCTCGCGCGAGATAGGAGGCGGCGCGGCGCAATAATATTTCGCGTTCCGCAATTTTTTGCCCGTCCGAAGGTACCCTCTCTGAGCTCATCGCCGAGTCGTCGCGGCTCGCCGGTGGCTCTCCCGGCTCAGCCGTGGGTATTAATTTCACGAGAGAAAGAGAGAAACGAAGGGGGCGAGGCGGAGGAGAGAGGAGAAGCTGCAGGACGAGGGGCGAGGGGGGGGGCCAAGGCGCGGCAGAACAAAACGACGTGGAAGACCATCTATGAGATGAGAAAATAATAATAAAGTGGAAATGAGCGAGCCGGTCCATAAATTGCTCCGCTCCTTGTTAATGGTCTGGGGGCCCGGGGCGACCTCAGCTAAACGTGGCCCGGTCTGACCCGACTTGGACTCCCTGCCTCTCGTTCTCTCTTTTATTCCCTTTCTCTCACTCTCCCGTCCTCTCTTATTCTCCCCGTCTCACTCCACCACGGATCTCTCTCGATCCTGGGGCCCGGACCGAAGAGGATCTGGTCCGACCCGTTCGGGGCGCTCTTGGAAGGCTCATTTCTGTATTTAATGGACGTCCAGAGATGCTTCCCTCCTCCCCACCGAGTCTCTGGGCTCCCGAGAGCCAGAAAGAAAGACTAAAAGGGTCCAAGAGGACACAAAGGATACACGTCGATGGTAGGTACTGCCTGTGATTGGCGATCGGGCGTGGCTCTACCGACAGATATCCGCTCCTCTTTAAACGCACCAAAGCCGAATACACGTTGAATGCAAGTTGCATTTTCAATGTATACAAGATCGTAAATTTCTTGATAGTAAAATATAAATAATGAGTAACGATTAAGAAATATTGAAATATAAGGCTACTTGCATAAACGAGCGAATTCTCCCCAATATTATATCAAAGAGAAAAAGTCTTTTAACTATTGTTTAAAGTTTATATGATAAAGCTAATTTACATCAATCACTTGTGTTTATGTGATTAAATATATTGATAATACGTCCACATAAAATTAATTAAAAAAATACTAATTATCGAAGCAGTAGAATATAAAAAAAACTTTTAGAGACATAGAAATATAGATTTTTTCGCGATTGGTATAAATATTATATTAAATTAATATGCGTGACAATCTACTTTCGCTTATTTACAATATTCATTATCATTTTCCCTAAATTTATTATTCTAATATCAATATTATATAATAGCTCAACATCTTTGATAAACTTGTATAACGGGTTGCATCCATGCATACACAAGACCTCAGCATAAAAACGCCTTTCATTTTAAAATATTTTGTTTGTCAATTCTATCAAGCATTATTAAAATATTTCGTAGAAAATTAGATCTTTATATTATAAAATTATTTAAAAATTATATTACACAATCAAATATCAAATAACTACTTACCATGGAATGCATTAGTGATCCTGTAACGTAATAGAGGGCAGCAGAAATCAGGAAGCATGGTACATCATCTGTTGGCAATAAGCAGAAAGCAAAATATTAATTCCTGATCGATCAACGCTAAAAATGTTTTTCTTTAGGCAATATTAAATAAATACAAAAAAATTAAATTTTATAACTAAATATATGGGTTGAGAAATAATACATGAAATGATAAAATCGAAATATTATACACACGATACATGATCTTATTCACAGTTGATAAAAATATATTTTATTTTTTATATTATACAAAAATATTATCATGTTCATTAAAATCCATATTAAACTTATTATAATAATTTTAAACAATAAGCATTTTATATATAAATATATATGTATATTAATCGTGCAGATACTCTGCAACTGATATAACAGGGATTGATTTTTTCGACATTTTATCAACGTATAATATATTGATAAAAAATAAGTAAAAAAGAAAATAATTGTTGTAGAAAAATTATTATAATGTATTTGCATAATTTTTTGTAATATCTCTATAATAATCAAATACATATTGGCTGACTTGTTTACACTTATCTATAGATGCTACAAACTCACTTTGAGAGAATCGACCAATGCTATGACAACATACAATATCTTTGTTAATACTGTCAAATGCATATGTAAATTCCGCTTTTGCATTCTGTAAATAAATTATAAATTTATTAAAAATATTTAATATTTAATTTAAAAAACTATATGTTTATTATTTGTTACTATTTATAAATACCTTTAATTGTGTATTATCAGGATCAATAATTAATTCTCCTGTTTCTTTTTCTAACATACAACTCACAGCTGCAATAGTGTACTTCATAGAGAGCCCTGAGTTAATTAGTGCCAAACATGATGCATTAATGGCACAAGCTAATAACTAAAATTTTATTTTTTATTCATACAATTATTCAATTTTCAGTAAAAAGATTTGTTATTGTTATAATATATTATAAAACATTGTCACATACCCCACCAGAATCTTGCAACTCTTGCAGATTAATGCACACCATGGTATTAGGATGAAAGGAAACCAATATAGCAGATTCACATGTCTGTTTTATATATGTTTCAATTAATCTATCATTCACCTCTAAAATAATTCATAAACAATTACAAAGATTTAAAGTTGAAATTAATAGCGAAAATTTCATAAACTTTCATAAACTTACTAGCTGGTCCTTTAAGAGGCGTATACGTAACTTCTATCGAAACCTTATCATATGCCATTTTTTGGCTTTTTGCTTCCATAGGCCCATTTATACCTGCGATAATTGTTGTATCACCTATATACAAAAATAATATAAGTATTATTGTATTAAATAGAATATTGTTTATGATGATGTTTGCTATATGTACCTTGCATAAACATTGTGGAACCATCAGATCTTGATAGTAAATTAATCTCGCAATTCATCGGCCGTAATACACAATCAATTTCAGTATCTTGTTCTGTCATCTTGTTGAAGTTTTAAACTTTTGTTCACGTAAACATTTGACGGGACAACACGTTAGAGATTAGAGGTTAAAGAGACGCAAGCTACTATAAGCATATGTTAATAGAAGCCATGAACTGCATACTCACAAGATAGAAAACTCACTCAGTAACAATACTACGTATATTTCATAAAGTCTAAGTAAATAGTAAACAATAACGATTATTTTTTTAAGTAATTTTATTTTTACTGAAATAATATTAAATAATTATATTTCATTATTTAATAATTATTTTCAGTGCTTTGAAGGTAAATCTGCGTTACCGATAAATTACGCTCAATTCTCCAGCGCACTCTGGAAGAAATATTTATGTAGCGCGAAAACTTAAAATGCAGTTTGCACAACGTAAAGATTATTATTCATCAATTTCCTCATCTTCCTCATCTTCTTCATCTTCTTCATCTTCTTCATCTTCTTCATCTTCTTCATCTCCTTCATCATCTTCTTCTTCCTCTTCTGTGGTAAAAAATTATTTTTATAAAATGTATAAAACCATAAACACTGTTGTAAATTTTTAAAGCAATCACCCAATAGTAATGCTGGTGGTGTACGCGCTATTCGATACGGCTGTTCTTCCTCAACAGTGGGGTCCCGAATTTCCATGATCTCCGGTCCGATTTTATATTGATCTTGAACAGGTGGCATATTGGGAGGACTATAATTGTACGCATTGTATTTGTGACCCCAACCGATATACACGTTGGCGAAGCGTCTGCGAAACGACACCATTAAAATTACATTAGCGCAATCCCGCGCGCATTAATTCCCTTGTAACGTGACTGCAGATCAGCATAATTTCCTCTTCCACGTCAGTTCGGACCGCAAACGCTCGCAAACAGAATGAGGTGATTATTGAACGCGTCGCGTATTACACGTGTAGAGAATAGATTCCGAATTATATTTTGCGTTAATTTCTGACACTACTATATCACGATAAATTATCACGATTTTCTTTACCGCGATAACATTCTTTTTATATTCTTTTTAGAATTTAATATAATGTTATTCTAATATGTTTGCTGATAATAAAGCCTTGTCTGATTATTAGCGGCAAAACGAAACGTTAGTACGTGATATTTGCGTACTTTCCGACGGCAAATGCGAAAGCTCCGGGCCAGACGTTCGACCTGACTAATGCCACTGCAGTGTCTGATTGTATGTATGACGATTGTCTGGCAGTCCATGGTATCACAAAGTCGGTCATAATATCTTCGGACAAAGGAGTTAAGAGAGATGGACCGATCTCTTTCTCGACCGTCTTAACTTTGTCTTCTACTTCCTCTTCTTCCTCTTCCTACGTAATTAAAGCTCCCTGTCAAGCTGCTTGAAGAAGCGCGCTCACAAATAATTGTGAAAGACAATTTTACAGCGGCGATTAAAATATTTAATCAACTAACATCCAAAAGTTCTTCCTCTTTCTCTGGATTCCACCAAACAGTCCGTCCTTGCTTGAGAATATACGGACTATGATGGCACCAATTTGACATAAAGGGGTCCACGAGATCCTTGATCGGCAGTGGATCGTAATGAATGTTTTCTAATAATTCGCCTTCCGTGTAGACTGTACGTGAATAATCAAATTTATGATAAGCACAAGATTAATGCAACTAAAAATTGCGACTCGCATCTTTTTTATTCTGTTGTTGTCGTCTATCAAAAAGTTAATTTAACAAGGATCATAAGTTTGTTATTTATGTTACCCTCCTCCCTCTCCTCTTCTATTTCTTCACCCACGTCCATTCCAAGTGTGAAGAAGCCGATCGGCGAAATGTGAGTGGTCGCGCTGATTCTTGCAATTTGCGCACGAAGGTAATTTTTCTCAGTACCAGGAAACGGCGGAAAGCTGTGAATCTAAGCTCCACAGCAAGAAAACACACCATAACAACGTCCACGGGATAAAATTCACTTATTCAAAGAAAGCTCATGAATAGCTATTTCAATACTGCGACTAATATCTTCCTTTAATTTTACCATATTTTCATTAAGTTGATTTTGAGTCTAAAACTCGCTTACTCTGCTCAATTTTCACCAATTAACTTACTTTGCTAATTCGCTTAATTGGCAAAAAACGTTAACTCCTATAATTATTATCGAGATATATATTCCCCGATGCATGCATTTTTAATTTTACCGCGATTTACCCGCCCGCTCCTTATTTGCCTACCGTTACTGTACATCATCCCGCAAAACTCTGGTATTGTAGTACATACAGTCCAATATCAGGCGTAACAAGACGGTATATGGGCTAACGTTATAGATGCGTTATGTGAACGTGTTCGCAAATAACGCCGCTCTGGGACTCCTTCATTAAAAGGCATCACGTACCGGTGTCTCCAAGTTTCCCGTGCAGTATCGGACAATCTGTCGTGCAATTACTATCTGCTGCGGCGTAACCACCGGAAGTTCGATCCACTCGTCCAGCCCGGGCGCGTTGCATACAAAATACACCTAAATACCGTCATCGTGAGGCAGCCGGAGGATTACAACAAAATGCGCGGCGTGATGCGGATCGAATATTAATTCGTTACGCGGCCATTGAGACGTCGTCTTTGATATTCTGGTAATTGAGAACCCGTAAACGCGCACCTTTTTATTGAGGCCGGCCCCGATTCTTTCAGCCGGTATTTCCGACAGCGGCCTCCGCGGATTATCAGGCGGCGGTGGAGGGACAAGCTCCAAAGGCTTTTCTCCTGCCGTGTCCTCGTGCGGGATTTCCGTCGCTGCGACAGTTCCCTCCACGGCTTTCTCCTCGATTTTTGCTGCGGCTTCTTCCTCCGCGTGTTTCGCCGCCGTTTCGGCTTCGAATTCCTCTTTCTGTTTTCGAGCTTGTATTTCAGTTTCTTCTCGCTATTTTCAGAGCAAATATTAAATGATATTCTCGGAGAATCTTAAAATTCTCATACAATAACTGCAGTATTTATTCACTTATTCAAAGAAAGCTCATGAATAGCTATTTCAATACTGCGACTAATATCCTTTTTTAATTTCACCATATTTTCATTCTCTTTATCCTTTTATCATTTTTTACCAGAAAATTAATTTAATAAGCATCCTATATTCGTTAGATGTTACACATTTTGATATATATGCATATTCAGTGCATTGAACTACTGTGCAATATTTTGCATAGTGCCATTATGCCATTGCTATTTTACCTGCAATCTTCGAACAAGTTCATCCGCTTGTAGTTCAGCCTCCACCACGTAATAATTTTTAGGTTTTCCAAGCATTTTACCCCAAAATCTGATGTATAAATTAAGATTAGAAAAATACTTTATTAAATTTATAAAAAAAAAACGGCGTGATGTAAAGTACAAAATATAACGTAAATTATGCAAGTCAAATACCTAATATTTTTAAGCGGCATCGCGGAAGCAAGCTTTCGAATCGATAAATTAAACAACACCAACTCGTGGCGCGGCAATCCTACACCCGCCTGCTCAAAGTAAAACAAAAGATCTAACATGTCGGGATGCTTCTTTTTCTTATCGTCCTCCCCCTCGTCTTCCATCCTCCCGTGCTCGCCTTCGTCAATTTGCTTTACATTCTGCCGTGATTGCGAGAAGATTGAAAGGCAAGGTAAAACGAAGATTATAGCTTGCCTCGTTTGCGCCATTTGCATGTTATTTATCCGAGGGAAACTCGGAGTGTATCGCGGTTTCATTATCTGTTACTTGTCAGACCGCACCTGGAAGAGCTTAATGAGCTTCTTGGCATCGTCGTACTGCACGGGTGGTATATATAGATCCCGAAGATGATCCGTCTTAGTCTTAAACCTCTCCTCCTTTAGTTTTCTGCTGTATTCCTCAAAAATATCGACAGCGTTTCGTGGCCGCTCAGCCAGGATTTTTGCTAAAAGCTCCGTTAAATGATCGTATCTGATGAAAATAAATTAATAACTTGTTTCACAATTAAGTCCATTTGGCTTAGTATTTTTTTTAATTTTATGTATTATATTTTTAAGCTTTTATAATTATAAAAAAATTTTTATCTCAGAACTGATGCAAAGCAATTATTTTTACAACAGTCGTACTGCTGTTCAAATTTCCCGCAAAAGAGATACAGTAACTTGTGTAGATTAAAAATATTGGAAGTACTTCAAAAAATACATCAAAAAGAGTGCAATTGCATAGCTCTCATCGTAGGACGCGCTTACAAACTGTCACCCGATTCCGAGCTGTGTTTTTGAAGAAATATCTTCGCGCGTCTGATGTCATATTCCACGTTGGGAACATCGTCGGGAGGCGCTTCTTCTACGTTATAAGAATATGCCATTCTTGTTATGTTATTTTTCCCTGTATTCAGCTAGGAAATTGCATGCGATGTCACATCGCCGGATACTTAGTAATATTATCGCGCGTAACGTAACCACTACGCAAGCTGTCACCATTCGGTAACTTTTATCAACGCCAACTGATTTTTTTAATCGGCGCTGTTCATCCGTTTCTTCAATTCATCCTGTCGCAAAAAATCACACTGCGATTGCTGTTACAAAAATATAAAATCTTATCGAATGACCTAATTATTTCCACGCCAAAAATGGTTTTAATCAGTTTTGTTCAAAGTGATTAGAACGGTAACTGCGAGATAAATGCCTCCCACATTTCTATCAAGTAAAAAGCCATTTCCGATTAAAAATTAAGATATAAATAGTTACTTGAAATCAGTGAAAATTTTAATAAAAAGCCTATTATTTAAAGCAAAATGCGCATATTTATATATAATATCATTAAACTGCATGTATATTATTAATAGTAGTGTATAATATTCTCTTTTAAATATTAATTTTATATGCGCAATATTATATATTCATATACTTTAATAATGCGTTTTTCCTCCACGTTGTATCGATTGTGATATTACAACAATGCGTATACATTGCCAGTCAAACATTTTTAGACAAAGAATATAAATTGAATTTATTGCTTCAAAGTCGCGTAATAGTTCAAAAAATCGTAGGAATATTTTAAAACACGTTTTGTATACATTTTGCAGGTAAAAGTCGTACTTTTTGCCGCTTGTCGTAAATTTTTTGAAAAAAATTTGTTGCGAACTGCAGAGTATTGAAGGTACGTAATTTTAAGAAACAATACAATGTATTTTTTTTTAGTCTCTTTTTTCAGGATAAAAATTTTTCAAAAAATGGTCTAAAGTACAAACTTCTAATTTTAAAATGCTTTTTATAATTTTTAGTCTGCAATGATTTTTCGCCGAGTTACAGTGGTTAGAAAATTGCTCAATTTTGAACGTCAGAAAAGTGTTCCCTATTTTTTGTAAAAATTGAGCAATTTTCAAATTACTGTAGCTCGGTGAAAAATCGATTCTATACTCTGCAAAACGCAGGTTTAAAAATGTTCCTACGATTTTTTTTAAAATGAGTTACGCGACTTTGAAGTAATAAATTCAACTATATTCTTTGTCCAAAACTTTTGACCGGCAGTGTATATTTATTCTGTCATTTTCTCTAAATATAGTCAATGAAGTAAGAGGAAAACATGAATGGACAATGTGATTCTAAAGAGATGAATCGCACGCACACGGTATCTATCAGCTTGCATCCTGGAGCATAGTTATCGTCTATCGGGTGTCCTAAATATGACGGACGCTTCTCGAGGTCACTGGCTGTTTCCTTTGACGCCCACCCTCTTTCTCTACAACGTAGGACACGTGTCCTGTCTTTAAAAACTGCTGCAGCGATAAATGTCGAGGCGTTATGATCAAAAGCTTCCGAAAATTTATGCCGTTAAAAATAGTTCCGACAGAAACGATTACGAGAATATTTTTATATTTCTCTCTACTTGCTATTATTTATAAGCTTGAAAAAAATTGTCTAAGTATACCGTTGAATTATAAAGTACATTACACTTAATTAAATTAATTATTTATTCTTAAAATTATTATAAATATTTATGCTGAAACTTCGCTAGTTTACGTTGAATATATTTCTGTAAAAATATATTGTTTTATCAATTTTATAAAATTTTAAATAAATGTTTCTTACAATATTTTTATAAGATAATGACCTTCGACGACGTATCTATCTGTGCACATATATCTGTACACACTACACAACATTTGACATACATGACGGGACGTTTCAAAACATTATGAAAAAAATTAGCTGTTCCAAGAAAGCCCTGACTCTAGAAACTCTATTACAACTCTTAATAATTCGCAATTTTATTGTGCAACTTTATGTATCACGCTTACGTTCAGCATGAACTATTATGTAAATTACGTCTCTGTAATGTCTATATTTGATACAGCCAAGTACATAAGCAAATTGGCTAGAATCTATAAAGAAATATAATTATCAATAAAATAAAATCTAAAATATTTTCAAGGAAAATGAGAACAATAAACAGTCTTTACTCTTTAGAAGTTCAATATTCTATATCAGATCTTAACACTTACGTTTCTCTCATGTATGAAATTTTGTATCAACACACATCGCAGCAAGCCTGCAGTCGCGATCACATGCAACACGCGCGGCGTTAATTACAATTCGTTGCTGTACCGTCAACAAGGTGAAATTATGGCCGTACTGTATCCGTGAGCTATTCGGTCGAGCACGTGGCAAGCTTCAAACACACGGGATTGCAAACAGACTGGGATTTCGTAATTTCAAGAGTTATAACAGGTGGTGCTGGGCGCATGTATACCACACACCATGCTTCTGGCGTGGCGTCCAAACAGAGTTTTCGGCGAACCAGTTGTGTCGTCACTCGGCATTCCGCTCGGCACTTCGCCGCTGCATAATGCCGCGTAATTAACAAAATGGTATGCCGATTAATAAAACGCGAGCGCTTGATTACCCGAGCTGGCGCGTATCGGTCGGACGGATTCGGAGCAGAACGGATTACTCGATTCGCCGAAATTCAATAGCCGCGCCCGTTTGACGCGTATTGTTCGGACGACGGCCAGATGCGTTAATTAACAAAAGGCCGTTAATGTACGAGCGTCTATCGCAGATGCGATTTTCGACCGATAACGATGATAAACGAGTTTCGATAATCCGGCGCTCATTCGCGCGCGGGATAGCGCGATAGTCCGATGAATGAGAATGAAAATCGCGATATTTTCCTCGACGATTTCATTTTCCGCGCAATCATCAACGGCCAACGCCGTTACAGTCAAACGTTTTTTAACGTGAACGCATTAATTAAACGAGTATAACACTCACATTAACTTGCAGCGACATTTCCTGCGGAAATTATTTTATTCGCGACAATGTTTGAAATTAAAATTATTTCAATTTAACAAATTCCACTTAAATTTACGTTTATTCCACAAACAACGTGACTATTGTTTTACATTGTTTATTAATTTAAATGTTAAATTAAATAAAACCAAATCATCAATCAATTTTCGAAAACTTTTACACTTTTATGTGCTTATAATTTAGAAACTAATAAAACTGTGATATTTTTATTAAAAACAAATCTATTTGAAATCTAAGAATTCTTACATAAAAGAAGATTAAAATACCTTAAAATTTGATTGTAAATTTTTTAATAATTTAATCCTTTAAACGTGCCTTTATGTATTAAGAACCGAAGAATCTCGATTAAGGAAAATACATAATCCCCGAAATTCCTTCCAAAGTCCCTTCGTACGCTTCATCGGCGATGCGCTTAAAGAAGAACGATAAATTTAGGTTAATCGGTTAATCAGACGGCATTGGACGCATTTCGAATGTAGACGAAGAGCGCCAGAGGTGCCCGTAATTCGCGGGGGCGTTGGAGTATGAATGAGTAAGAAATCCCCACCAGAAAGCACTTCCCTCAAGCTATCTTGTTCTCTCACTATCAACCTGTCTCTCTCCAACTCTACTCATCTTCCCTCTCTCTACATTTTCATCCTCCCCCCCCCTCTCTTTTTCTCTCTTTTTCTATCCATCGCTACTCTTCGGTGCCTCTTTCTTGCACTCACACCGACCGAAAGCAGCTCATATCGGGGGTCGGTTCTCCTAGTTCCACGCTTCTTTCGGTCAGTTTTCTCCCGCGAGTTGCACGCGCGCGTTCTTTCGTTAGAACCGTTTCCGCGTCGTACAGTCTTTAGGCACCACAGCCTCGAGAAATAGGATCGACATAGTGTTGGGATAAGAACGATTTCTCTCCGCATCCTGGATTTCCGCAGGACGGAGGAGCCGCACTGTTCATCATGCACCATCGACTATCAAGGTAAGTTTTGCATATTTTTTAAATCAAATTCACGAGGGAAATATTTAATTGTCATAATTCAGTCTGTCATCTTATTTTTTTTATGTTGTTCATTATCGAATTAAGAGTCAAAAATCTTCCAAGGAAAACTGAATGACTCATAAAATTGTTTTCGTTTCTATTTTAAATGTAGCAATAAAATTTTATTGCACCTGTAATTAGCAAGCGTGTGCTCGATAAGAGCATGTTTCCAATTAAGAATTCCCGCATGTTTAATAAGTGGCAAACGTTAATGAGTCGGAGGAAAGGAGAGATCGCAGTCGAAAAAATAAACCTCACTGAATAAAGCGCGATTCGAAGTCTTTTCATTCAAGACGGAGAATTACCCTGCTCTCGGATAGGTACTCTCGCAGTTATTAAAACGATTTAGTCCGAAGTGCGCGAGAGTTTACGTCTACCGGATCTTATTATTAAAAGTTCCACTTCTCCCATCTTGAAATCGTCCGAACTCCGGTAATGTCATCCTATCTTGAAAGTGCAGTCTAACTTCTTTGGTGGTAATTACGCGGCACTATGCAAAAGAGACGATAAAAGGCAAACGTATTCAGCACAAGAACCGGATGATTTTTTACACAATAATTAAGTGACAAGCACAAAGCTCTGCGAAAAATTTTGGTTCAGAAACGGGTATCTCTATCTTTTATATTGTAGTTAAAAAAGCATCTTTCTCTCTGACAAAATTTGTGTTTCTTTCAAAAAATAATTCTCATGCATTACAGTTAGTCAGTGAAGCAATTTTAAAATAATAAAATTTTATTCCTACGTACTGCTTTCGAAATATTGTCTCTGTTAATATTATACGAATAATTTTTTTCATAATTTTACGCAGCTGGAATATTTTATAATATCAATTAGAGCACTCAAGCGCACAGCACGCGCCACAGTATTTGTGTGTCCTATCCTATCCTCACGGGGAGTAATGCCGATCGTTACTGTTAAAGAGCCATCGCAAAGCGCCTTACATTATTCATCTGCCGTTTCCTCACTATGTGGCATCGGCCGATCGCTCGTAAATCGCACGTTCCCGACCGCCCCCGATTCACTTTTCATTAAGACGTCCACGACTGACTGAATGAATGGATGAATGGATTTCCAGAAGCCGCAAGACCTCAATCTTTCCTCGGCCTTGGACTACTTGAAATGCTAACGTGCCGAACTTGACAAACCCAATAACGAAGCTATGATTTATTACTAATCACAGATGCTGCGCTAAATAATTGAAATTATTATTCATAACACGCTTTGAAATAGATTACATTTGCGTTCATCATTTATGCGCATAAAAATAATACGTGGAAAGCATTTTATCTATCTTATAAATTTCGAATAAGTCCATTTCTGCATTGTAAAATCTCGAAACACGCATACCATATTTTTAACGGATTTTCCATTAAAAGTATCTCTCGTACATTTTATTTCATTCTTTATTTGCATTACAGTTAACGCCACACAAATAAAACAAAATTGACAATCAATATTTCAATTAAATACAATTCAATAAAAATTAATTGACATTCGTGTTTGTCTATGTCCTTTGTAAAGAAAACATTTATATAATCGGTTTACTAATATTGCGAAACTGATACACGCGATTATACGTTGCAACGCCTTCCGATGTTGCATAGTCTAATTGCTGATATTTCCAATACACTTTGCGTTTCTTATCTCAATTCTATATATGATAAGATATATGCTAAACGTTATTTATTTTTTTCATCTATTCCTTTTACCTTCAAGAAATGATGCATAGAGTGGAACAAATTATTTCCCCGTATTAAATCTTACCTTCCAAAGATGAAAAAAAGTGACCTCCATTCTCTTTTCTACTCATGTAACACCGTTCACAATATACGCATATTTGCGTATGAAAATCATATTAATAACGAGTACATTAAATAGTTAAAGTTTCTTTGCAATAACAAAAAAATGCAAAATATCGTGTTGATTCTAAATCTTAATAATTATGTGACCGTAATTATTAAAGACTCTAAATTTGATAAAAATTTATTCGGTGAGAATCTAATAATGATTGCACGGAAGTGTTAGAAATCCTTTTACTCAAAGAGCATAAACTTTAATAGCATGCGAGTTTATTAAAAATTTAACGAAGTACGAAGCCACGCGGCGAAATAAGGGGGGCAGAGAACGAAATTTGCGGCACCGGCTTCAGTGACGGAAGGCCGCAGGCCCATGGTCCATGACCGGTCGACGCAGCCTCCTCCCGGTTCCAGAGAGAATCGGAGTCACGTTCAGTCAGTGGCCGACTCCCGTCCGCGGAGGTGGTGCGCGTTATCGCTCCTTCGGCTCCTTTCTCAGCAGTGTCGAGAGGGATTTTTCAGCTTCTACGTACTGAGACTGATCCTCATCGGGCATGACGAACATCAGGAACACGTGGTTAGTCGAAAGATTTCTTCTCGCGACTCTGCTACCTTTCATCGCGTCAATCTTTCACTATACTCCGTTTCTCGCGTCTTCGATTTCTGAACGCGCTCTCCGATTATCACACAAAGAGATCATCGAATATTTCCTCTATTGTTACGCTCTTCTCTCTTTTTCTTTTTTTTTTAAATTTCGATTTTTAATCTCCTTTACAGACTATATCAATCTCTGTTTCCCAGCTGTCTTAATTAGCCCGTTTTTATGAAGCGCACGGAAGTACTCTGTTACGAAATCGCTTAAAGGAAGTTTTAATTAAAGGCTGAAGTGGTTTTTGTCCGCGGTTTGCTCGTTTTCTATCGCGTTTCTTTATCGGATAGTATGTACGGCACGTAATTAGTAATTAGATTGTTTATAAAATATTCGATTGATCGGCGCGAATGAAAAATCTGTTAACGTAAAATTGCACGTTCTTTTTCGCTTCTTTTCTACTTTTCTTATTTTAATTTCAAAGCGACAAATCGAGATCGCGTAAAGATACGGCAATGCCATCAAGACTTGAGAGGTCGTAATTGCTGTGTATACTCGAGTAAGTGAGCTGTCATCAACGTACATTACGTACGCTTTGGTTAAATACGCAACATCCTAAATCGTTTCTCACTGAAAAGATCGACCTTTGAAATTAAAATCATCACAGACAAATCGTGATTTTTTTATATGTTATCTTATTATTTATTTCTAAACAATATAGATACTGCGACAATACGCCCAATATTCGATTTCCATTATTCAAAATCGAAATCCGGTACACGCGATAAATATGCCATGTCGTGCCATGATGCGATACATATCTATATGAAATAACACCCACGCATTTTTAGATAGAAAAAAAATATCATATGTTTTTTTATCATACATAATTGACGTTCGTATCTTCTATTTTTATATATCAGATTATATAGTCATACTAATTTTATAAGCTATCATGGTGTACTATGTGTATCTATGTCGTACTAATATATAGTCAGCAAATTATTTATTAAATATTAAGTAGTAAATATTATTAAGTAACATTACATTTTAAACAAAATGTAATGTAAAATATATAATATAATAATAAAATGTATAATATGTATATATTATATTATATATAATAGCATAATTATAATTTTTCAAAATAAATAACTATCAATTCTTAAAAAACTAAAATAATTTCATAATTTCAAGAAAAATGATTACAATTAACAAAAAAATACATAATGTAGAAATATACGAACAAACTGTCCTAGACCCATCGAAAATCTTTATACCAAAATATCAAGGCTATAGTAATTTTTAAACGCGAAGTGTTTAAAGTTGACCAATCAAATTGTTAAAAATTCACGCGCTCAGGCACGTCACATAATTAATTTTTATATCCTTACCATATGAGAAACCTTAAAACTTTGCTATTAACAGGTAATACAGTTAATGTAAGGTTTGAGACACTTTGCATACTTTATATTATTTTTAAATCTCTTTTTTTAATGATATTAAAATGAAACAAATTGGATTGACTTACCGGCACGATGCGCAACAGCGGAGTTGTTCACAAATCGATCTATAACAAAATATATTCCAATTATAGCAACATTTAAAATAATTATTTGAGCAATAATTATTACGTACATTAAACTTTTACTTATCTTTTATGCAAATATCTAATTAAAAAATTTATAAATTTATATCTAGTAACCATAAATATTAAAAATTGCAAATCTTTTACTGAATGTTTAAAAGTTTCTATGTGCGTTACATTACATAATATTTTAGGTGCAATATTTTGCAAATAATAGATAACAAATAAATAATTACTTACTCTAAAGTTGCTCGATGTCTGATGCTCCTTTTGAGCCTCCTCCTCCTCTTAGTCCTCGCAGTCCTTCAAGCACTCACACGCGTTCGCGACGCGAATACGAAAATCGTCCGATGTTTTAAACGGCACTACCGACGCGTACTTTGTCATTCGGACAAAGTAAAACTCGAATATCATCGCACGGATTACACGTTCGACACGTTCCGCAATAGATAACGACGGAAAGAGATGAGATCGAAAACGGAAAATAATAAGGGTAATATTATTGGAGAGGATAACACGAATACGATACGGAACGCAATCTATTCCGTACAAGTTGCGCCGTGCGAATGATAAAGGTACAATAAATGTAACAAGGACAAAGTTGCGCCGATTCCAATTTGAAGAAATGCGCAGAAAAAATAAGAATATGCGTGCGAACTATACATAGAAGATGTGTGAGAGAGAAAGAGACAAAGAAGGGAAATATGAAGCGCGCAGATTAAGCGCGACGATGTAAATAACCCCATCACATGTCGCAAGTCGGTCTCGAAACTCTTAACATTATTTATCACATATTTATCGAAATCAAGTTAAAATCAAGTTTAAACTTGATTTTATTTCGATTTTGATAAATGCTCTAGTGTTAAGAGTTTCGAAATCGATTCGCGGTGTTCGATGAGATTGTTTTTATCGCCCTTAATCCGTGGATCTATATCGCCCTTTTTCTCTCTTTTTCTTTTGTATTATGTATCGAGATGTACATTTTTACATCATATTCCTTGCATTCCCCAAATTGGAATTGGCGTAATTTCGTCCTTGATATGTTTATTGCACCCATATTATTCGTACGGAGCAGATGGTTTCGTATTTTCTCGTTACGACATGTTATTTTCTCCAATAATGTTATTCTTATTATTTTATGCAGTTTTTGATCTCACTCTTTCCGTCATTGTCAAACGTGTAATCCATGCGATAACATTCAAGTTTTACTATGTTCACGCGACAAAGTACGCGTCGGGAGTGCCATTTAAAACACCGAGCAATTTTTATATTTGCGTCGCGAACGCGTGTAAGTACCTTGAAGAACTACAAGAAGGACTAATAAAAAGAGGAAACTCAGAAAGGACATCAGGCGTCAGCGGCGCAACTTTGGGGTAAGTAATCATTTATTTGTTATTTGTTATTTGCAAATTAGCAATTATTATTATTGCACATAAAGTATTATGTAATATAGACACTTTGAAATATTCAGCAAAAAATTTGCAAATGTTTTATATTTATAATTATTAGATCTAAATATATAATTCTTAGATATTTATATAAAAGAGATGAGTAAAAGTTTAATGCGTGTAATAATTATTTTTCAAATAATTATTTTAAACACTGTTATAATTTGAATGTACTTTATATGTTACACATCAATTTGTGAACAACTCTGCTGTTGCGCATCATGCCGGTAAGTCAATCCAATTTATTTTAATTTAATTTAATTTTATTTTATTATCATTAAGAGAATATTTTTAAAACTAAAATATACACAAGGTGTCTCATATTGGAACCGTACCAGTTAATAGTAGATTTCTGAGATTTTTCATATGGTAAGAATATAAAAACGATGCGTCAATATACGACATAAGCGCATAAACTTTTGTCAATTGATTGGTCAACTTTAAACGTCGTATTTGAAAATTACTGTAGCCTCAATATTTATAAAGATTTTGGTCTTCAAATAAGGAATCTGCTATTAACAAATAACACGATTTTTGGGACACCCTGTACATTGATATAAAATGAAATTAATGTAAGAATATGTATTATTTGAAATCCAATACATATTTCAAAAAATTGTCTTAAATTGATAAAAGGATATGAGCATTGAAGAAAAAGCGTTTATTTGCACGATTTGCCAATCGTGCTGGTAATGACGGGTGATTTTAGAGTTCCGGTATTTTACACATTTATATCTACGCTTACATTCGTGGAGCGACCAATAAAATTCTCGTCAGAGTCCAAACTGTGCAGAGTTTCCCGGACATTTCAATCGTCAAGCGTGTGAAAATTCCGTGGAAAAGTCTTGGCTCGTCTATACACTTCTTCCGACATTTCGCATATGTTGAGAAACGAGAGACTCTCTCATAAGTTCTACGAGGCACGAATGACGGCTTGGTCAACATGTGTGCCTATCCCGGCTGGCTCATTTGTCAAAGCGGCCCGAGTGCGTCTAGTTAGTCTATATACTGCTTTATTCTCCAGTAGCCGAGAATTGTGCTATTTATAATGGAGATTTCATGTAATAGCATAGCATTATCGCGCGAACGCAACTATTATTAACCTTTCACTATTCGTATGGTGCTTGACAGGTGCCACGTTTAATTGACGTACACTTTCTCCATTTCATTCCTCTTGTTTTTACATTGATAAAGTATAAACTCCGGATTTCTTGACATTTATTTTTTCAAAGTATGTTATATTGAGCTGTATAAGCAATTAAATTTATTTTTGTCATTATTTGTAAAATAAATGGCATTTTGATAAAACTAAACTTTTACACACAAATCGCGTTAACATTTAAAGATTAGGATAGAACAGCCATATTATTTGCAATTTGATTTATGTTTCTAATCAAAATCTGATAACATTCTGTTAGGGATATAGTAACCTAAGTATAGCAGACGCGTCCAGTTAAATTATACGACATTGCAGCATTATCACAGCATTGTTACATATTCGCGCGAGTCACGAAAGTGTAATATCTTCGCCTTCGATTTACGGTTATAACAGTACTTCACCTGCGGTGGGTATAAAGGGTTATTGTAGTGAGCTTTCAGGTACCATCCTCCTGACCACCCGCTTGGTAGGACAATGGCTTATGCTAATTCCCACCGAGTCTATGTGTAGACGTCATCCTTCCGACTCTGTACGCGGAATATGCGTGTAACGTGCCGGAATTTAAAATTCAACCGGCGTCACGCTTGCAAACGACGCGAGATTTAGCGTTGCGGTTGCGAATTGTTTCGCCTAATAAAATCACAACTTGTCACCGCTTACGGAAACATGAGATACCAACTATGTTTATCGTTTTACTTGTTTCATAAATGTTTATATGAGACAAATATTTATTTTAAAATATATTTTTGCCTAATTTTTTACTTTTTTACTGTAATTGAAAAATTCTAATAAACATATTCTTTAGAATTATAGATTATCTACGCCAATAAATTAATAATTGCCTGCTTTTGTCGCATTTGAATGAAAAAGTGCATATCTTCGCGAAATACCTTTATGTTGACGTGGCAACATTACGATTATCGTTTGCGTAACTCAAAGGCAAAATAATTCACCTACGCCCTAATCCTTTTTGAACTCCGAACTCGAGAAGCCTACTTCACGGGACAAAGGATTGTCAGCTTTCGCCGAATAAACAATTTCATGTCGGCCGAATAAATACATATTCCACCGGCTACGTTCTGTATATACGCTTGCAGAAATTCTCAACGCGGAAAGCACTCTGTCAGGTACCCGGCCACATACGCTGCAGACAATCCCGCATTTCGTGGCTTATTTTGGCTCCTCCGGAGGAGAGGAAGCTGTTATTTCTGTTCCATAAGTTAATACTCCAGGGCAGACCCTCGCGCTTCGCTATGCACACCAGGCGCCGTTCCGCCGGTCTAGAACACTCGAAAGTATTACGGTTTTATTTATTGTTGGACGTCCCGTTTGTATAAACGGGATTACCGCGCGAGAGGTCTTCTCCGCCCTGCGAAAAGTACTTACATCACAACTCGCACGCGTCTTACTCGTGGAAGATGTATCGCGACATGTGACTCCCACACGTTGCTCGAAGTAGGTGTAAATTTAAAAACTGTCTCGCGAGCTAAAATAAGAGTTTATTAACTTTGAGCTCACTTCCAGATCGTTTTTAAGTAATTAGATGCAAATCTCAGAGAATATGCAGAATCTTATATATCTTATCTTTCATATGGAAGTTGTGATCACACATATGTGTCGCACAACTTTTCGCTGAAGAAGAGTCAACCGGAAAGAAGTTTAGCTTCTGGACTTTTTGATATAATCTTTGGGTCGCCGATGAAAAGACCGCCGCAATAAATTTCAACATCTTGGAATTACTGAGCACATCGTCATGATTAATCGGAAGCGAAACAAGAAAGAGGCTTGATCAATTAGTCGCTAATAATAATACGCGTTCTGTTATAAAAAAATTTCTGCCATGATTCATTTCATTCATTAAACGTTATCACTCGTTACACTTGAAGATTGGAGATATTATATATCTCGTATTACTTATGAAATATATGCAGCAAGCGTTTCTCCTGGCATGAATGAGATCTTGTTAGAAAATCTTATATCGGCACACGTATAATGAAAAAAATCTCTTCCTAGATACATACTCATTTCTATAAAAAAAATATATACGCTATTTTAGTTTCATCATCTTTATCCGATTTTCTCTCTGGTTTTATTAAATTTTTATGCAATACCTCTTTGGGAACGACGTACCCCATCGTGATTGTCATGATAAAAGGCAAGCAACCAATCCCGCAGGCAAGATTCCGGCAGCAGCTTTCCATTATTTATAAACTTCTTCAACGAGATTCCATTATTTATAAAACTTGAATAATATAGATTACGGAAGTTGATGAGTATCAAGCGAATAAAACATTCTGCATCTTCGATCTTTCAAACTTGAAAATTTAAGTAAATCAATATCAAAATTCGTGCGAATATCACTATCAATTTTATGT